TGTCCTATAGCAAAATCTCTCTAAAAAAATAAATAAATAAATACTACTAGTATTTATAATCAGACATCCTCTGTTATAACACTAATATAGACTCTTACCTTTTTATTCTTAGCTTTTTTCTTTTTCTTTGGTTTACTCTTAACCTGGTACATAAAAAAGAAATAATTTATTTAATAAGTTATACAAACTGCACAATAGGTTATCCTGCAAAATATGTTCCCTCTAAACACTAAGATCTTTTACCTTCTAAAACTATAGATCATATTTCTTTCTGAATTCTACGGAAATAATTACTTTTACTTTAATTATTTTTATCTTGATCTTGCATCTTCTGCTCTTGAAAAATCACTGATGTATAAAGGAACAACACATGATGTCAACAACCAGTCTGATAAAAGCCCACAGATGCTCACGTGCACACATGCATGTGTGTGACAAAGGAAAAAGACAATATTCAAAAGTAACACAGCACCAGTCCCATGGCCTGGTGTTAAGAGAACCAGATCCCACATAGTCAACTGCAGTTCAAGTCCCAGACTCAGCAGCTTATAAAACACTCTAGGGGGGACTGGCAGGTGGTGTGGTGGTTAAAAGAGTTGGATTCCCATATGGCTGACCACGGTCCAAGTCTCAGACCTGGCGTCTTGCTTTCTCACTATTCCTCTCTCTTTGTATGTGTTTCTTTCTGGCTAAATTTAAAAAAATAAGTAAAATTTTAAAAATTAAAAAAAAAAAAACACTGTAGGGTGACCAGCAGTTCGTGTAATGGCTATGTCACTGGACTCCCATGTAGTCGACCGTGATTCGCATCCTGGACCCGGTGGTTTAAAACTCACGCCAGACGTATGTGAGTGTGTGCCCAAGATCCTGGGAGGAGGATGGAGGATAAGGGATTGCAGTGTGGTCGTCCCCCATGGGGGGTGATTTCTCGCTTTCTATCTCTCTGTCTGTCTCTGTCTGTCTGGCAAGTGCGCCCTATAGCAAAAACCTCTCAAAAAAAAAAAAAAAAAAAACGAAAAAAAAAAAACCCACTCTAGGCACGTGAGTATGCATGCCCCAAATCCTGACAGGATGGAGAAATAAAGAAAAAGGGATTGTGTGTGATCATACCCCATTGAGGGGTGCTTTCTCCCTCCATCTCTTTCTGTTACTCCCTGATGAGTGCATTCATCCTCTGGCAAAAAAATAAGAAAGAAAAAAATCCCCAAAACAACAAAAACAAAATATTCATGTGCATAAGAGGAAAGACTAAGCCTAAGAAGAATTTAATGAATTTATAATAACTGTTACCACTTATCTGTAAACAAATATAGAAATTCTGTTCTGAATGACTTAATCCTATTTTTGTACAAACAGCATCGCCATTCTCTCTTCCTTTCTCTCTCTTTTATTCCCACTATACTTTCTTCTACTTCTTACTATCCTCCAGATCCACTTCCACTACTCAGGATAAACATATTCAGAAATCTACTAATAGCATAGTAATGGTACACAGTAAGCATTCAATAAAATGTTGGCAACATAAATGGTTACAACAAGAAAGATTACAAAAATGAACTATATAAACTCAAGCTATGTGTAAACACTATGATAAATATGAGCTTAAATACAGCACATGCAACAAACTAAAAAGCCAGAATAAGTTCTTCTAAATAAAATACTAGTAACTAGAGCTTATACTTCCTGGAGATCTTTAACAGATTCCGTTGAAGATTCACTGGGTATTGATGCCCCGTCTTTATTCATTTCTGCTAACTGCATTTCAGGGTTCGATTTCACATTTATATTGTACTCCATGAGAGGTGGACTTAGTTCTTCTTCTTCATTCTGCAACTCTTCTATTTCAATACCTAAATATTAAGGAGAAAACACTTAAAACCTGGATATAAGCAATTTCAGCACCTTATCAGAATTATTAAGTGTTTAAAAAAAAACCCACAGAAATAGAAACAGAAGGCATATTACTCTTTTTAATTACCAGATGAAAATGCAATGTCTATTTATCAACTACCAAAAAACAGGTACATAATTCTAGTCTGGAAATAATCAGCATGAATCAAAACCCTATTATATCTTAAGCAGACTCTATATAGTAGTTAGTCTAGAACATACTAGATTGGTGCAAAAGTAACTATGGCTTTACATTGTTGAAATTTTCTGTTTGATACTGGATACATTTTTAAATAAAATGATTATGTTATACATCATTTTAATGTGCATTTCTGGCCTTTTTTGCTAATGACTTACTATTTACTATTTATTTTACATTTATTTTAGACTACAGAAATGATGCTAGACAAAAAGCAAATTTAGGTGATTTTCTTATTCAAATTCAAAATGAGTTGTAAAGCAATAATGGAGACAACTTGTAACATCAACGATGCTTTTGGCCCACAAACTGCTAACAAACATACAATATTTATTTTGGGACATAAATCTGAAACAAACTACAGAAGAAAAAGCTATATCCATTTCTTTCTTTTATTTTTTTCTTTTTTGTAAGAAAGAGGGGTATAAACCACCAATTATGTGACCTCTTCTTTGACACCACATCCTCTGATATAGCTTCAAGAGACTAAGTTTCAAAATTTTTGGACAATATCTGACTGGTCACAGATAGTCCAACAGGTGACATGGTGGTTAAGGCACTGGACTCCTTACATGGCTGACCATGTTTTGATCCTGGACCTGGTCTCTTGAAACTCATGCTGAGTGCATGTCCATGTGTGCCCAAAATCCTAAAAGGAAAAGGGAGGAGAAGGAATTGCTGAATGGCTATCACCACTAAAGGATGATTTCTCACTTTCTCTATCTCCATCTCTCTGGTGAATACACATGCCATATTGCAAAAATCTCTCTAAAACAAAACAAAAAAACCACAACAGCACAAAAACAGAAATTCTAAAAAATGTACGTATCTATGGACAGTTAGCCACATAAAGCTACACATGCTAACAGTCCACATGTGTATGTAAAGCCAGCAGATAGACACTTCTGCCTGCTTAAGTATCCTGTGAGCAAAACTTTAGAATGCCATTCTTGGGTAAACTCTTGGGGTACATGCACTAGGAGAAAGACGAAATAAGGTGCATACTAGATCCAGCTAGCCAATAGTAATTTGACCACATGTTTTCAAGCTTAACAAACAGCTTGGAAAAAGTTATCATACAGTTTATCTAATCATGTAAAAACTTCATTGGTACCCTTTGGGTATCCCAAGTCAAAAGGTTGTTTGGGGATCAGCAGTTAGCATAATGGCTATGTCGCTGGACTCCCACGTATTCAGCCACAGTTCAAGTCCTGGACCCAGTGGCATAAACTCACGCCAGGTGTGGGCGCGTGCGTGCCAAAGATCCCAAGAGGAGAATGGAGGAGAAGGGATTGCGGTGTGGCCATCCCCTCTGAGGGGTGATTTCTTGCTTTCTGTCTCTCTGTCTCAGTCTTTCTGGTGAGCGCATGCGCACTATAGCAAAAACCGCTCCAGGAAAAAAAGGTTGTTTGAGCGTTTTGTTGTTAAACATACTTACGTTGACTGCCTGTTATTGACTGTAGAGCAATTCCTATGGAGCAGAAAGAAAAACTTTAGATGTACAATTGCAAATGCAACCAACAAATATCTGGCTGAGTATAAGAAAAGCCAGGATATTTTCACAACGCACCAATTTATTCTATAACTAACTGTAAAAAATCAGCTGTGTTTATCAATCAAGCTTTAAAAAGGCACAATCTTTAGATTACATATACAGGTTATATAACCATGGTTAAAGTAATAAAAGTGAACAAAATTTTGATAATTCATAATAAAGACAAGGACATAATCACTTTAAACCAAGTAGCAAATTCTTAATATTTATAGTCTAAGTCTATGAAGTAATAATAGTCAATTATGAAGCAAATAACAACTAGAAGTTTGAGGCTTTTTTTTTAAGGTTTTTGTCATAGGGTGCATGGGCTCACCAGAGAGAGGGAAAGTGAGAAATCAACTGCCCCCTTCCTCTCCCCCTCCCCAGAGTGATGGCCGCACCACAATTTCTTCTCCTCCTGGGGTTTTGGGCACACATGCATGTGTGCCAGACATGATTTTCAAGCCACCAGGTCAGAGACTCAAAATCATAGGTAGGAGTCCAGAGCCTTAATCACCTTACCACCTGCTGGACACTGAGTCTCTTGTATGGCAATTTAATTATCCTGATCAGTACTCCATCTCCTTGCCTGTTAATATTTATTGAATACCTACGATAAGTATCAGGCTATGATATGCTCTAGAGATTGAATGGTCAAAAAAAAGATAACCTTCATGGAACTTTAGTGGGGAAAATAAATGTTAATCAGATAAACATACATAAAAAAAACTGCAACTGTAATAACTGGGGAAAGAGACATAAGATCCTAAGAAAGTTTCTATTAAAGGAACTTGAATAATAAGCTCTTCAGACTACCTGAGGGAGAACTGTTAGAAATGCCTTGAATTAAATTACTGCTGAAAGCTCTTTTGCATATCTTACCTTACTCTCATGAGTTCCTATTGCTTAAAAATTTAGTACAATAAATGTATTTGAAAAGCCTCTAGTTCAGGCCAGCAGGTGGCATGGAGGCTAAGGAGGCTGGATCCCACATGGCCAACTATGCAGTTCAAATCTTGAACCAGGCAGCTTGAAAAACACATGGGGTATGTGTGCTTGTGTGTTCAAAATCCTAAGAGGAAAATGGATGAAAGATTGCCGTGTGGCCATCCTCCCAAGGAGTGATTTCTCATTTTATTTCTCTCTCTGTGTCTATATCTCTGGTGAGCAAATGCAACTTATAGCGAAACTTTCTTAAAAGCCCCTCATTCATAAATCAATTTAAAAACCAACAGTTCTTGTTTGATTCTATTATCAAACTCACTTTCCTCTTTCATAATCAAAAAAAAAAAATCTTAAAGAATTAGCAGGTAGTCTAGTTGCAGTGGCACAGCAACAGTGCAACACTTTGCAAGCTGGAAGCCATATAGATCAGAGTTCAGTTCTGAGTTGACCAGTACACAGAGGCCACACACACCACTATGATACTGTCTGGCTAAAAGGCTAAGGGGCAGGAGTTGCACTGTGAGACTCCATTGAGGATGTTTATTTCTCTCTCTGCCTCTGTCTCAAAAAACAAAGAAATAAACTTTGAAAAGATTACACAGGAAAACAAGTATCCCACAGCCTTGATAAGGGGACCAATTTGGGGACAAAGCAATGGTCTCTACAAAAGCTGGAACTGTTAAATAATTACTAGAAACTTGAGAAGTTGGATGTTTAAACATTATCTGTGTGGTCATCAATTACTCACTAGGTGGTACAACTAATAGCCTGGGATCAAGAAAAGGCAGACAGTATATATAGCACAGCGAGAATTTCCATGATGCTGACATGCCTTGAATTCTACTTCACAAGACAAGAACTGAGAAGTGATGCTAGGAAGTCAGAGAGAAGGCCTGAAGTCTTTCCCATATCAATATTCCAGTCTGGTAATGGCTTCTGCTGAATTCTTGACACTTTCATGAATGTTACCTGGTTTTTTAAATTACCCCTACACAAAATATAACTGCTAAGAGTTTATATTAAACATTAAGTTTCTGCTAGAAAGAAGAATAAACATATTCACTTCATCTTATGGGTATCTCTGAAACTATAATGACAATATTTCACAGTTTTAGGCATCCTTAATTTTGGATATGTGATAAAACTCCTCTACTTGAACTCTTTCTTCCTTTCTGAAGAAACAAACTCATCATAACAAGAGATACTCTCTTGAATGTCCACCTATTAACTCTCTCCTATTTAATCTCAGTAATGACAACATTTTGAGTTCCTATATTAGAATTTATTATGTTTTTATAACTTTATTTTTGTTTCCCTCTGAAACATCCTTCTACACAACATTTTCACTTGGCTAACTTATACATATTACTTAAGAAATCTTTAAATATTATATTCTCCAGAAAGCTTCTTTGTAGACTTCCTTAGGCTAGGATTTCCCAGGCAGGGTATTCTGCAAACATCTCTAGAAGTAGAATTTCTATTGCCTTCTTGATGAGCAGTTCATTGAATTTCCTGACTTTAACACTGTACCTGACATGAAGTAGAACCTCAATGAAAGTTTATTGGCTGACTGTGGAGAACAATATGGAGCTTCCTCTAGGACCTACAAACAGAACTACCATATGATCCACCAATTTCACTTCTCTATATCTACCCAAACAAAGGATAGGAGAACACTCAGTCAGAAAAGTGCTTGCACATCTATGTTTACTGTAGCATCATTCACAATTGCTAAGACATGGAACCAACCCAAATATCCATGAACAGATGAATGGAATGAAAAGTATGGCCACATATACCCTCTGGAATACTACTCAGCCATAAAACAAACATACACACACACACACACACACACACACACACACACACATAAGACCCTTGCATTTGATAGATAGTAAATGAATATGGAAGATTTACTACTGAGTAAAACAAGCCAGGCTATGAAAGAGAGATAACGTATGTCTCCACTTAACATATACTGACTGTCCACCATCTATGGTGGAAACTGAGAGATACAGGACACAGAAGCATTGAAAATGGTTATGGATACTGGAGATAATATGGGAATAGGGTAGGAGGAGGGGGAGAATGTAAGGAAAAAGATTTAGGAGAAAAATAGAAAAGGCAAGACATTTAAGGAATGCAGAAATAGATGATTATCTGTTGATGATAATGTGTTTTGTATCCTCAACTGGACTGGTGTGAAGTGTATTCATGTTGAATAAATTCAACTTACAAGCTAAGTGATATATAGTGATTAAATATATAAAATGAATTAAAATAAAAATTTTAAAGTTCATTAAAAAGTTTATTGGCAAAAAAAAGTTTATTGGCTGAAGAAATTAATTGTTTAGTACCTTGTTGATAGCAAGATAACATCCTCTGGATGATTTCTGGTACTGGTATGCCTAGGTAGACAGACAGTTGATGGTAATCAAGGGAGATATTCTCAATGGGATTTTCTTTCACTTTGTCAATATCTTCTTGCTTCATCCCAAGGCGCAGAAGAATATCTGAAACTTTTTTCCATATTGAATTGAACTGTGACTCAGTGAGACCATTCATCAAAATCTCACTAAGGAGGATATCCCTATATTTGCATAGCCTCAGGATATCTGCAGACTTAGAGAGATCAGAAGATGATGGTTCCATATTCCAACCTTTTTTGGGTGCAGGAAATACATTCAAATGTTTTATGAGCGCTAACAGGAGGCATAAGTCAAACTGTTTGGACTGTGGTAGTTCCTTATTTGGAGGATAAAGCAGATGCCATGATCCACCCAAAGGGTGATTGGTCCAAAGATGATTATAGTAGGATTCCAGCACATTCTTGTGTATAAGAAGCTCCTTTTTCAAAAGAGGGGGTGGCATGGCCTCATCAAATATTTGTCGGACAATGTCAGTACCAGAAATAATAATTATATGAAGCAGATGATAGAAATAATTATAATCAAGTTTGAAGATGGGCATCTCATCTGAAAATAAATGTTGAAAAATAAAGACATTGTACATTAATGTTCTTTTTATATTTGTCTCTTACATTATATCCTAAAATCTCTATAAAACAGAAAATACTACAAAAGTGCTTTGCCATAGCGAGTGTTCAATAAGCATGCTGCTTTCTGTCTAGATGTCAAGAAAACTAAACAAAAACAGTATGTTCCCAAGCAAAAGTAAACACAAGGACTAATCACTACAGAAGCCTTTCAACTGTCCAAGATTTTTTCATCAAGTGAAGGACCTTTGGCAACTAAATGGCATCAAAATATCAGGCCTTGAAAATTCTGAACTGGTAAGTGCCAAAGTTAGATTATACTGTACTCAATTATATTTTATCATAAACAGCACTGTGTAGTAGAGCTTTCTGTGATGAAAATGTTATATTTTGGACCAGCCTATGGTGTGACGGCTAAGGTGATTGGATCCCATGTGGCCGACTGCATGGTTCAAGTTGCAACAGCTTGAAAAACATGCCAGGCATGTGTGCATGTGTGTGTGTCCAAAATCCCTAAGGGAAAACAAAAACAAAAACAAACAAAAAAAAGGAGACCAGCAGTTAGTGTAATGGCTATGTCGCTGGACTCTAATGTAGTCGATTGCAGTTTAAGACCCGGTGGCTTAAACTCACGCATGACGCGTGTGCGTGTGTGCCCAAGATCCCAAGAGGAGAAAGGAGGAGAAGGGACTGCAGCAATGGTCATCTCCCCTGGGGTGTGATTTCTTGTTTTCTGTCTATCTCTGTCTGTCTTTCTGGTGAGCATACGTGCCCTATAGCAAAAAAATCTCTCAAAAAAAAAAAAAAAATCCCTAAGGGAGGGAGAAATGGAGAAAGGACTGTGGCATAACCTTGCCCCATGGGGGCGTACTCTCTCTTTTCTTTTCTTCTCTCTGTCTCCTTTCAGCAAGAACATAAACCAGCTAGCACATTTGACAAAAAAAAAAATATATATATATATTTGCATTGTTTGCTATTCATTGAACACTAGAAATGTTTCTTGTCTGATTGAGGATCTGTGTTTTAAATTTTATTTAATCTTAATTAGTTTAAATTTAGATAACTACATATAGCTACTGGCTGTCACTTAGCTCTGATCTACACCAAGAAAAGTGATCAAAGGCCTTGCTACTCTAAGTGCAGTCCATAGACGAGCTGCATCTGCACCCACCTGGGAGTCTGTTAGAAATGCAGAAGCTCTAGCCCTTCTCCAGAACTACTGAACTGGCACCTGCATTTTCACAAAATCACCAGATAATTCAAATATACGTAAAGTTTGAGAACCACAGATCTAATAAAACTCATGTTTTACCCCTCAAAAAATAATGATTAAGTAGGTATTTCATCAATGAAAGGAAATAAGGCACAAGACTGGCTTACTAATTCTTCCCAAGGAAGAAAGTAGACTGAGGTTAATTATGCTACCAATTTGGTGCATAGTATTGGATTTTTCTATGAACATCTGAATATATGGTTGATCATAAAATGCAGCTTTATTATCTTATCTTTCCTGATACTATGTTTCAAGAGATTTTTTTTAGTGTTAATATTCTTGCTTGATGTATTTTGCATATACTGTGGAGGCAAACAAAGTTATAAAGCAAATGACCCAAGAAGCTTGCTCTTGGTTGCCAATTATAAGGAGCTGGGTGGCATCAGGGACATCCATTCTACCTAGCAAGTAAGACTGCCACCAAACTATTCTTCCCTGGGACTAGGGGCCCTTCAGATCTCTAAGACCTTGATAGGGCATTTACTAGCACACTTCTAAGTAGCTGGTACCTAAGTTTAGACTTGGCCCCAAGCCCAAAATGTTCATTCTTTCCATGTAAGTTTGCATACTCGCTCTGTTAAGAGGTAATGCAACAAGGAAGGAGGAGTTGGTAGGAAACATCTGCTGGAGTACAATCTTACTGTGTCACAGCTATGCATCAGATCCAGAGCATCTTTCTACAGAATGCTGAGGTAATGTGAAACCCATACACTGCTGATTTCTATCTGTCAGTTCCAGCCTATACTAAGTGAAGCTTGCTGGTATAAACCATAGCCCAGGAAATGATAGGCATATATGAGGACATAGTTATTAATGGCATGATACTTTACATAAGGCACAATTTTAACATATTTTCAGTAAGAGCCATATAAAAATAAAATAATACCTTTTGTATTAAATTTTAAACTGATCTTCGGTCTTCTATCAGTATCAGTTATTTTCAGAGACATCAGTTTTTTATAACTACAAGTAGAAAAAAAATGAGTTACACCAAAAATAGTACTAAAGTCAGTCAAGATTTCTGGCACAATCATGGCTAAGTGAGTATTTTCTTCTCCTCCTCCTGAAAATAATTCAAAAGGAAAGGAGAAAAATGAAAAAATAAATACCACTAAAAATGACAACCCCACATTGTCATTTTCACTGAAATTAAGAGGTAAATAGTGCTGCTATGTTTTAAACAAACTAAAAAAGAAATTACATAAACCTATTTGCAAGAAGGTTGCATAGTATTAAAAAAAGAAAAAGGGAAAAAAGGCTTTGCAATGTTAGAGAAATGAAAAAACACAACTCCCCACAAACCTGGAACTTCTTTCTGGCCCTCCTTTGCCCAAAGAATTTTTTTGGCAATAACTATCCCAAAGAAACCCAATTAGTTCAATGCCTAGTGATTAACAAAATAACAAAATAAATAATAATCTCATAATATCAATGCAAATAATTAGAATAAATAGAAGGCAAGAGTAACAATTTTTTAAATAGATAAAACACTGTAAATTTTTTCTATTATGCTGATGAAAAAAACTTGTTGCTCTGCTTTTAAAGAAACCCTCCCACAAAAAAAAAAAAAAAAAAAAAAAAAAAAAAAAAACGGAAAAACA